AACCCGTGTACTATCTAACCCATGTATAAGGACATGTATTCAACATCTTTCGATATTTTTTCCTATCGAAGAAAACCAAAGGTAATTACCTTTAATCCACTTTGGTTTTCTTCGATAGGACAAAATATCGAAAGATGTTGAATACATGTCCTTATACATGGGTTAGATAGTACACGGGTTAGATAGTACACGGGTTAGATAGGAAAAGTGGGGGTAACTAACAGTTCATATTTTCATAGTCAAAGTTTCTATCTTTTATTGCGCAAGCGTGAACAATTAGTACATGCAATTGAATTGTATCAATTGAATTGTATCAAGAAAACCAAAGTGGATTAAAGGTAATTACCTTTGGTTTTCTTCGATTTAAATTTTGTTACATATTTATGTGGCCTCTTGGTGCCAACTTTTGTTTGAAACAAATCTGAAACAAAAAACCCACTGTTATGTCGCAGTCACAAAGGAAATCTAAGAATATTAACGTTCGGTACATGCATACATATATTTTTACCTTTATCAGGTTCTTCTCCTACTTCTTCACGATAATATTGTGCATCATCATCTTCTTCTATCTCAGTTTTCTCAAAAGATTTTTGAAGAGCTTTCTTCTTTTCTACATTATCTTCTTGTATCTTTTTCCTTTCTTCTTTCAATTTCTTTTTTTTGTCCCTCTTTTTCTTTATTATCAGTTTTTCTTCCTCTGTTTTATGTACAAATTCATGGAAAAGAACTTCACCATCAAGAAGCCCATTTTCCACTTTGATTAACTAAAATAGATATATCAATATTAGAATATAAAAGAAATATCCATTATTTTATTTATAATATTGACTTTTTCATCAGTTCTCTAACCTGTAATGTTATTCTGGGTCCTAATTCAAATAATCGAATCGCACTCTGGGAGTTAGCATAATTTCCTCTTGAAGATAATTCTTGTGATAATGTAACACGATTAGTCTCATCATCTTCCGCTTCACTTTCAGACATTCCCGGTTTCGTTAAGAATTCCGAAATATCTTGACATTTTGATAAATTTGGAACTTTTGCTTGTACAATTTTACTAATACCCTTTGATAAACCTACAGGTATAACTTTGATTGCATAATGTCTGAAATCGATGGTTTTTGTTGTTGCATTATAATTTAAACATACACAACGGCGAATTGTACTCAAATTAACCTGTAAAAATATTAATAAAATATTATAAATTTATTTTATAAATATGGCTCTTTGAATTAATACATTAATCATAATTTTATTACATAAGCTGGTAGAGTTAAAAGTTAGGATATTATGCTCGCAATTATTATATTTACAACATAGAAAATCACAGACATTTCGGCCTTGGACTTAGGCCATTATCGAAAAATTATTTGTTTTGTTTTCCTACACTGAAGATGGTCTAAGCCCAAGGTCAAAATGTCTGTGGTTTCCTATATGTTGTAAATATAATTGCGAGCATAAAATCCTAACTTTTGGCTCTACCAGCTTATGTAATAAAATTATACTGTAAAAATATTGTTCTTTTGCACATTAATTATATTTACTGAACTGATTATCTGATATAATACTTACAGTAGTCAAATTTATGGCAGGAAACATGTTCTGGAACATAGAAGCTATAAGTTTCAATTGCATGCCTTCCCCACTAAAATTATTTAAAACTACTAGTGGAGAACTCTTGAAAGCTTCTTCATATACCATTTGCTTCTTCAACATAGATATTACATCTCGTGCTAAAGAGAAGCTGTGTATTTTAAAAGTAAGTGTAGGTCCCCTGGGCAACCTATAGCAACATTTAAAATTTGTATTATCTCAAATAATCATCCGTTAAAAAATTGTTGATAAGTTTTATTAAAAATAAATATATATATATATATAATACCTGCAAAGCTTGAGATACATTCCCAATTCCGTTTTTGTAAATATACACATGTGACTAACATGAAGGACGCTCGAAACAGAAACAAAGTCTTTAATTGTATTTTTCTTTCGAACCTTCAAAGACGAAGCTGTAAAAGGTTCCATTACTCTGCGAAAATCTTTAGTAAGCTCTATAATATGTTCGCCTGGCAATCCGCGATGAAGTACAAAGGAATGAGGCGCTTGTATCAATTCTTCCTTTTCTCCTACATTTATTTTCTTATTTCGCTTTACACATCGACCCTATATAAAATTAATAGAAAGTTTATTCTAATCCTTGGAATACGCTACTAATAAATTATTTTTGAATATACAATATATGTAATCTACACATAAATGTTAAATACCTTCAATATTAATAATCTAAAGTTATTAATTTGTATTAATTATTACTGCATTTGTAGTAAATGAAAATATTACCTTTCTTCCGTGACCCATTCTGTTTTTTTAGATTAGGATTAAGTTAAATCTCTCACCACGTGTAGTCAACACCACAGACTTCTATAGGTCTGTTCTTTATAGCTGAACTGGCTGCACTAGTTCAGAGTTTATCTTTTTCTCTCCATATTAAAAGAAGAAAGATAAACTCTGGACTAGTGCAGCCAGTTCAGCTATAAAGAACAGACCTTATGTAATGCAGAGAGAAGCCTGAAAGAGGTAACGTTTTCCGTACAACGCTTTTTTTAAAGGCCATCACACACAAAATGACATAACTGCATATGCATAGCATAAGACCGTCTCGGCCAATGAGCATGCTATGTAAATCAATATGGCGCCTTTATGCTAGGTGTTCATTGGTCGAGACGGTCTTATGCTATGCATATGCAGTTATGTTATTTTGTGTGTGATGGCCTTAAGTCCATGGCCCTAACTTATCGATCATTGTCTAGAAACTTTTTTGCAACTGTTGCAAACTGTTGCTGATACTGATTTTATGAAGTGTAGGAAGTGTGTACTGTGGTACCTCCTAACCTCAGATAAAATGCAGAGTTAGAAACGTTTGTAATATTTACTCATAAAATGACGAATAATTTGTTAATTTTTATTCCGCAAAGGCTATGTAGTGCACAGTCTGGTTACGTACTTGGCAAAGTGGTACACGATGCACATAGCGATTTGAAAAAATTTTATATTATTAGTGTGCGCGAAGCTGACTCCTTAGATTTAACAAAATCTACGTTAGACACCGTTGGATATTATTCCAATACAAATAATTCCAACGAATTTTCGGACCGCAAATATTCAGACTGGATACACATTATAGCAAGGTCTTCCGAGAATGGACAGGAAGAGTATTATCCGACGAACATTGTTGTTAATAATAAACGAATAGATTTGTCAGTAACACGTACCACAATTGTCTTGTATGACAAATTGGCGTTACAGGAAACAGAATTGTTCGAGAGCAAAGCTGCATCGGGTGACCATTTCTATGAACTCGCAAAACTCATCCAAGGTAAAAAGGATGAGCTGAAGATCAAATCTAGATTTGCACGGATCTGGGAAACTCTGTTGATTTATCATATGATCTGCCAATTGTATCTTGTCCTATTGCTGTCCAAAGTGACTGAGAAGTTGTTGCTGGTTTTGAAGTATTCTTCCCTCGGCTTACATGTGCATAGTTGGTTGGAGAATATCAAATGGATGTTAGTCACAGTTGTACGAAATAGAGGTTTTAAGCTGAAAACAGGAAACTATGCTTTGGCAATTATAATAGATATGGCACTAGGAATCTTTGTATTAAGATTATTGCAGTATTACATTAAGGATCAACCATCACAACTACTTTTAAACAATGCAGAGGCAAGTAGTGTGAATCATTTATGCGAACAAAATAATTTATACACTTGCTTAGTATTATTTAGTAAAATTTTGAGTTAATCAGTTCACTGAAGAAAACAAGTTCTTTGTATTTACTTCTACAATAATCAAGATGAATTAAATTGTTATAAAAATTAAAAGGTTACATTCATATACTGTTGTATTAGAAATAAATGGTTATATTTGTATTTTTGTGAGTAAATAAGTTGTCTTGGTCACTTTTAACTGTACACATGAGGTTCTTTTTGATCAAGAAATTACCTAGTTAAATAGATTAGCTTTCAATTTAAACAACAGTTGGATTTTAAAACTAAAATTTGCTTTAAATGATGTGAATTGGAAACAATACATTTTTTCTGGTGCAAAAAATTGGGTATTGTAGAATCTATGATATACTTCTCTAATTCTGCCAGATTTAATAACTGAAATTTATATTCCATAGAAAGTTGTAGACACTCTGAAGGATTTGATTAATTGGTTGATGGGTGCACCAGCTGGCTTGAAGCTTAATCATGCTCTGAATAATAATATGGGCAAATTTTTCTTATATCATATACAACTCTGGTGGATGTTTCTGATATTCTCAAAGCCGCTTCTAGACTTTGCATTCGAAATATTACTCCTATTTGGAAGGCTAGGTATCACATTTCAAATATCCATAGTCGCGGATCTTCTAGCTCTCGTCAGCTTTCACATATATTGCATATATGTTTATGCAGCAAGGTATAATATAACTCTGAGACATTTTTAACATATGACAATTTAATGAAAGTATTCTTATCGCTAACAATTCAAAAGGACAGGCTCTTTAACATTCAGTTGAGAGGCATCACAGCACTCTTCAGACTCTTCCTTGGGAAGAAGAAAAATCCTCTGCGTGAAAGAGTAGATTCTTGTCAGTATCAAACGGACCAACTGTTCATTGGGACACTGTCGTTTACCATTCTTTTATTCCTAATGCCAACAACGTGGGTATATTACACAGTATTTACATTGGTAAGATGGTGTCCATTTTACTTTAACGTTCTCAGATTATTTCAATCTCATTTCAATCGCGATGTTGAATATAATCTGATTGCAGCTCAGACTAGTATTGATTGGGTTTGGCGGTTTTCTCACCAGATTGAAATTTTATTTACAAGTTATGCCGATTTATACCTTCTGGAAGTGGTTGCTGCGATCTTACAGCACCTGCAGTAAGCATCATCTTGCTTTTAAAAAAAAGATAACTTCTTGATACTGCATTCATAATAATATTGCAAATGATAATTCTCTAGGCATTATCGATATCAAATTACATCCTCATTGCACGGAAGGTCTGACGGTATTATCGATGACTATGGTTGTTGCACCTTGGAGGCTTACGTGGAAAAAGTGTATTCCAGATACGATCATTTGCCACCCGTCCATCGAATGGCGCGTGATATTACATAATATCATATGGGGTCAATTATTATATCCGCTATGAAAATCTTGTATGGAAAAAAAATGTATGTTGAAGTTCTGTTACATGTTTTTACAAAAAATGGGATATTTATTATACTACAATAAAGTTATTTTATTAAATAACAAGGAGGTAATTTTATGATACAACTAAAAATAACATTTAAAACATTAAGTTTCATTTCTTGAGTTATGATGAGTGATGTTTCGTTCTGTCGTCTTTTGAAACTGTGTTTAGTGTATCTCCCAAGTCATTGTAAAGCATCAAATCAATGTCGTTTTCCTCTCTCAAGATACAGAAGTAAATTAAAAAGACAGCTAAGCTTAACATCACAGCGTATGACTGATACCATGGTACACTATCTCCGTATGGATTACGGTATTCGTTAACTCTCATAGTAGCAGCCTTTGTTGAAGAAAATTTAATAGGCTGACTAGTTTCATCAATATCATCAGTTTCTGCTGTCGTGCGCAGATCCTTAGAATCCTTAGAGGATATCGTGAACCGTTTGCTTCTAATGTTATTGAGCACGGCTTGTGTTAAATTATATCTGAAACAATAGTATTCTTGTCTAATCGTTGTATTGGATAATTTATGAATAAATTATAGTTATATCTTTTAATATATATATATATATATATATATATATATATATATATATATATATATATATATATATATATAATAAATTTTGTAGTTTATTAAAATATATCATTATTCATTTCTATAAAAGTAGTTTTGTGTTTGAAGTATGTAACATAACCTTATTCAAGCTGATAAAAGTAATCGAAATATATTGAAAAGTTTATAAAGTTTATTTGTAAATTACCTTTTAAGCAGTATACTTTTATTTCCTAGTAGGGAAATGCGTTTGGCAACGTTTCCCAACATCTGGAACGACAGTACCAGCAAAAAACGTAAAATCAAAACTAATTGAGTTTTCGTGTATAGCACACTTGTGTCTTTTCTATATTGTACTGCACTATGTTTGATTCGAATCAGCCTCAACTAGTAACGCAATTTATATATGTATTAATTCCGTTTAAAGAATATAAAACGTAGCGAGAAATCCTAATAATCAATGTAAACAGAGAGACATAACCAAGCAGATACGCGTATTGCACCTGCTTTAAACCATATTTGGATGCCATACTCCATATATCACTTTATTGATATACACCTTATTAATATAAATATTGAATACGTTATAAAAACAAATATGTATATGTGTGTATTAAACAATAATTAATTTAATAGTTAAAAATTATCGAAAATTTAAAAAATATTACACACTGATCATCGTAAAATACTCGCAATAAAATTATAAATTTTCAAAGTAACATTTAGTATAAATATTTTTGTATTTTAGAATGTATAATTTTATTTGGAACAATAAAAAAATAGAAAATAACTTTATTATTATATTTATTAATTTTTCCAACACTGTTTTCATGTTTCAAATAAGGATTTATTATGAATGTTGTACAAAGTGTATATTTAAAACACAAGATTTTATTTCAATCTTTTACAATATATAACGATATTCACCGAACATTGAAGTTTAGTTTCTCAAGGAGTGAGGCGTTTGGGATCGCGCGGAAACATTGATACTTTACGAATGTTGTCCAGGCCAAGATATAACATTACCACCCGTTCCATGCCTATGCCGCCGCCGGCGTGCGGAGGACAACCATATCTGAATGCGTCAATATAAGACTTGATTTTCTCGATATCTGAAACAGAGAAAGCCGATATTAATGAGTTCTGAGTATAAAAGGGATTCACAGAAGAATTTTGATTCCAGTTCTCCAATCTTTATTCCAAAATTTAAAGAAATGCTCACAGCAGGAGCAAGAATCCTTATGTAGGAATTTCACTCACCGATTCCATGATGCTTAGCGCGCTCGATAAGAAAATCAGGATGGTGAATACGTTGCGCACCAGATATGATTTCTTCGCCCCGCATAAACATGTCATACGAGTTGGACGCTTTCTGCAATACAAGATTTATAATTATTTATAAAAGGGGAATATTGTGTACAATTGTTATCATATTATATTCTTATACTTTACAGGATTATTTGGATCCGGCATGGTATAGAAAGGTCTTACGGCGAGAGGATACTTGTCCAAAATAAAGAAATCCGTATCGTACTGAAAAAAGAACATTCGTAATATAAAAAAAGGAGTAGAAGACGCAGAATTCAAAATTACAGGCCAAATTTGAAACAATGATTAGACGTTACAAATAATTAATTACAACAAAATTAATGGATCTTTTTTAGCATATTACTTTGGCCTTAACGAGCTTTCCCAAGAGTTTTTCAGCTGGTGTCGACAGATCCTCCTCTTCGTCCAGAATTACGCCTGCTTCCGCCAGTAATTCTATTGCTTGTGGAAACTCCAATTTTAGGGCTGGTTCGAGAAATCTGAAAGGCTCCACCGGATACTGTTGGCTGACCGCCGCTATGTCGTCTGCGTAACTGTTGAAAGAAACCAATGCGTATCACGAATGGAGAATAAAAAAGGATACCAAGCACAAATATATAACACTAACATATCGCGTAGGCCTTTAAATAACTCAGTGAACATTTGCCCGATGGTGTCCATCACCTCGTGATAGTGATATTTAAACGCCATCTCTAGATCAAGGCCTACGAACTCTGTTAAATGTCTATGCGTATTAGAGTCCTCCGCTCTGAAAACTAATCACAAGACTTTCATTGAAATAAGCATTGTATACGAATAGAAAAATTCATCAGAAGAACTAACAAATTCTTGTATTTTTGACTCAACAAAATAATTTTTATTTTAAGCACGATATACCTGCTCCGACAGTGAAAACCTTGTCGAAATCAGCAGCAATCGCCATCTGCTTGTACAACTGTGGCGACTGAGCCAGATAAGCATTGTTTTTGAAGTAAGATACCGTGAACACATTCGCTCCACCTTCACTGGCTGCGGAGATGATTTTAGGAGTGTGAATCTCAACAAAACCCTGAAAAGGATAAGTTCAAGTCAAATGACATAAATATTAAATTAAAACAAAATAATTTTGGCGTAAACATACATCGGCAAACTCACCTTGTTCGTCAAAATGTCTCTAAAGAGCTTGCAAACACCAGCTTCCACCCTGAAAATTGCCTGATTGGCTGGAGTGCGCAGATCTAATACTCTGTTATCCAGTCTCGTGTCTTGATTCACTCGTATGTTCAATGCTGCTTCGTCAGCTTCGCTGATAGATCGCGCGGCATCTTCTATTTGCAGAGGAAGCTGCGGCTTCGCAGCACTTATTACGAAGACTTCTTCTAAATGAACCTCCACATCTTTCTGCGAGCACGATTCGATTTTTGATGGCACAGACTTCACCACAGCTTTGACATCAATTATAGATTCCTTCGTAATGCTAAATAAAACAGAGCAGAGAGATGTTAATTTTCAACAATATATAGATACTTGAATCTCGATCAATTTCATCAATTCTGAACTTTTACTTGGATATAAATTTAATCATCTGTTTGCTGATCTGCTCATTTACGGCAGCTAAGCCCTGCACTGTGTACGATTGTTGCCTCAGCACAATAAAGCACTGCTTGCCTATGATAAATATACGATCCAAACTTTATTTGCTGATAATTAAAAAATTATGTTTTTGTATAAAATAATATTGTTTACCTTTTGCGCGACTAGTGTGTAAGCGACCTCTCAACCAAACCGTTTGATTCTCCAAATTTTTATTCAGATCCTTAATCGCTGTAAACTTCCTATCCTCAAATTTTTCCTTACTTTGGATCATGTTCATTTGTCCGTATTTTCCCACCGACACATCTTCTGTTTCATTCGTTGATTCTTGTTGAAGTTGCTAGAAATTAGCATACAAACAAATTAAGTTTATAATAATTATTTTGTTATCTCTATTGTTAATTATATCTACTTAAACATATATCTATTACATTTTAATTCGAAAAAACAGAAAGTATATTTTTTCAACAAAAATTGTTACATAACTTACAGTCTGAGCTTTTCTTTCTGCCTTTTTCGCTGCTTTCTCCATTTCTTTCTGTTGCTTTTTAAGTGCTTTCTTAGATATCTCATCTCTTTGTAAAATAACAAGTTTTTGTTAACACTATTATTGACAATATTGAGACTGATGTACTTTATAGTTTTTAAAAGAGAAAGAAAAATATATTTTTTATTAGTTTATGGGCATTTAACAAAAAAAAATGTATGTGATTAAGTATGTAAACAGGTGAATTTTTAAGTGATAATGATAAGAGTCAATCTTACCCTGAAGGACACTCTACTGGTTTATCCACACCCATCTATAAGAAAGATGATGCAATAAAACATTATTAGCAAAAATAAATTACACAATTTTATCACTTCTTTAAAATATTGTATGCAATTACTTAAAATCAATACAATAATTAATACTTGCGTTCTGTTTTTAAATTCTATTGCTAACATATGTTACCAATTAAAATGTGCATATATGCAAGAATGATGCAATAGATGTGCAGTTGTTATAATAGATATGTAAATGTTTAAAAATGAGAATATATTGAAATTAGAGGAAACTGTCAAAGTAAATACTATTTTTTTGTTATTATTAATATTAATATTAATATCAATATTAAAAACTAAATTATACTATGACATTCATTGTAATAAATAACATAAAAAAATAATATTGAGTCAGAATAAGAAATACTCCCAAATTATTTGATGTTTATAATTACGATATTAAACAATACATAAATAACTAATAAGTACAACTATAAATAAATATATATTTATTACTCTCTATGCATATATTGTATGATTTAGAGGTTAAAAACTTTTGCGTAAATGTCATTAAATAAAATAAATGGTTCAATGCTGCATACGTACTTTGCTTCTATAAGGATTTGCAATAACTAAACTTCCTAATAAAGATCGTCACAAATTTGTAATCGGATCCTCTTTATGAATTTAAAAACGTGCAGAATATATTATATACACTTGAGAGGGTATAAAATTTTTTACAAAAGCAAGGAGCAGTTTCAGCGTCGTCTACACTCTGACTTGTAAACTAAAATGAGTCAGGTTTTTAGCTACAGTCGAAAAAGTCGGTTGTTAGCTTCATAATTTACCTTCTAACAGGCGCCTGATGGAATAATTGTTTCATGTTTACCCCAATGTTTATTCAGATTGTCTTTAAAGTATGTGATATTAATTTTGTCGTGTTTCTCTTAGTGCAAAATGTGTTGCATTTATAATTCTATGCAATAAAAACCGCGATCTTGAATTTTTTTAACGTGCCATACACGAAATCGAGCGAAACGCAAGTGTCGAGAAACACAAATTGAAAATATAGGTTATTTTGTATATAAATCTCCTTTAAGTTATTTAACATGAATTTACTCGTATTGTCCACATTGAGTTGCATTCTGGATCACGTTATACCTTTTTTCATTAAATTTGTGAGTATTCTTGAAATTATACAGTTATTTTTCTATTCTTGTTATTAAAGTTTTATATGTATATGCTAATGTTTTCTATGAGTTCTGTGTTTATGAGTTTTTTTAAAGATTCACTAAAATTTGTGAAATCTACATTTACATTTTGACATATTTAGATACTTTAATTGTTTATTGCATCGTGTCAAACCTGTGTTTCTATAAATCTTTATATTTTGCTTTATATCATAGATTATATCATACATGTTTGTGGAACAAAAAGACTACATTGAGTTACAAAATGAATTAAGCAATTTGAAAAAGGAAATGGCAGGACTCTCCATGGTGGATGAGTTTGCCAAGTATGCCAAACTTCAACGCAAGTGCAATCAAGTGGAAAATATCTTGAAGGAAAACAGTAAGTTTAGGTATTTATTTTTGTGGCAAATTTTATATCTATTTGTATTCAAAATTCTTTTCCTTTTATAGAAAATCAAAGGTTGAGCTCGAGGCTGAAACTGCAGATGTCGTTAACTTATACCTTTCGTGTACTAAACGTATGTATAATGCCTAGTTTATAGCTTTTGATTTTTCACTGCAATCATATTGGATTATAAAGTAAAAAGAAAATTGCATAAATATTTGCACTATACATTGAAATAGTATTTTCACATACTATCGCTTGCATTTTAAGTATATGTCGTATATGTTGTAATGTATACTGAAAATTCATTTTTAGTTTATTTTTTAGTTATTATTTATTAATATATAAACATATAATTTGTCTTATCTTATTCTACATTTCTTTTCACAAATCTATTTTATGAAATCAATGATCAGAAGGAAGAAAGGTTAATTTTCTGTTATTCTTATATGCAGTATGATTACAGTGAAGTAGTCTTAATACTTGAAGAAGAGTTCACTTAATTTATAATTTTTATTAATTCTTTCAGGGTGTGTTAATCTTGTTCCTTTTGTTTATGTATAAGAAAGAGCCAGTAATTATTCTGTCAGAAGGCATGTTATGGCCAATCCAAGATTTTCTCAGTTGGCCAAGTCAACACGATAATGCTATTTCTTTAGCAGTGTGGGTTGTAATTGCTCGGTTAGGAATATTTGCATGCAAAAATCTCCACTTGTGATTTAATAAGGTGTTTTGTGTAAATATTTTACTTTATTTATAATTTATTATAAATTCTACATTGAATAAACAAAACGTTTCCAAATGCTTTCCATCATTTAGTCTATCTTGTGAACTCGTTAAACTACAGAATAATTGAATAAAAAACATTATTTCTTTCTACAAGAATCTTTTTGCGATTTTTTATTATTACAGATAAAAATAATAGATAAAGATCGAGATTGCCAGTTTTATCTCAATTGTGTCACAGCCAGAACCAGCTTAGATTCGCGAAGTTCAATCGCAGATCATCACTCTTGGTCGCGGTCAATCTTCTGATATAAATTTTGCGCTGACCGATATCTTGCAAGTGTCTGAAATTGTCGCCTAATGTTTCCTCGCCGTTGGAAAGCGTTCGAAACGCATTCATCTGTAAGATTGTCAAATATATTTTGTAAAAAAACGTTGATAATTTATGCATATCTAATAATTATAATTGACCCACTTGGCGGAAAGATATCGGGACTGGAGTGCCGAAGATTATCCAAGTGACAACTTCGTTGCAAGGTGGGGTTGTAAGAGACCCTTTGTATGTGTAAAAGACATCAGTGTTTGACGGTATGAGAGACGTTAGAGTTATCGATATATTCACCGACTTTTCTGTATTCGCCCACTGTATATCCGGCAGCTTGTTTATGAAGGACTGAAGGAGTTCATTCTGTTCATCTTGCAGCTGGAAAGCATATACGCATATAAAATGAAAACAATTCGAAGACACGTCGATCTGAAACTCACCTGAAAGAAAGTCGCCACTACGACCACGCCGTCTTCGTGCTCCAATGCCTGTGAGAAGTTCGAGTACACCATGTTGCGATGCACGATGTGCATCTCCATCGGGTATCTACGGATATTGATACCTTCAATCGTCTTCGATTTATCGAATTATCTTCGCGGATGAGAATGTGAATTACCTCACGCCGTTCAACATGTGTTCAGCACCTCTGTTATTTTTCGCGCCCCAGTGAAAGTGGAGCTGCTCCATTTCGTAATGCTGATTTGGCTTCAGCGTGGCGCCGAATACATACGGCAGTCTTTTGTACATCACGTTCTTACTCACAGTGAGCTTGACTGTATAAAGTACGAAGGGATACTTTTTAGACGGCTCGTTTATAAAAGCTTGCGCGTCAAGAATACTTGCCGCTTTGTCCATTGTTCGTTAGGGTTTGCGGTGTCGGGAGAAAATCGTGGTAACCGATCATTTCAAGCGCCGGAAGTGGCAGAGGGATCGCTTTGGATGTGGATAAAGCCACCGGTGATTGCAGCTTCCCCAAGCACAATTTGTACTTCCGTGGCCACAAATGTTGTTCTAAAATAAAGCACCGTTAGCATAAATTTGATTCTCAGACGCTCCAATATTTTCTTTACTCGAGAATTTAATTTGATCTTTTGAAACGAAAAGCGGGAAAGGCAAGAATTTTTTCTATGATTTCTTGACTTCAAGTCTGGATGAAGATAAATGAGTACCTTTTTTACTATATCCAAAGCCGTTGCCTGAGACAATATCGAGAGTGAGCCATGTCATCGTAACTTGCAAGACGCTGCGCATTTCTGAATTCTTCGCGCATAAAGATTATAATCTTAGAAATATTACAATTTATGATATTGAGACATTATCGTTAAATTTTGCATTACTTAATAATGAAAGATAAACAGTAGCTTCCTGAATTTATCGCTTATACATACTCATTACCTTTCTATCACGCGCGTAAAATTATTTTCTGTCCAAGATATACGACACTTCGAACTCTAAGAACAATCACATAGGTACTGAGACGCACGTTGAGATATTTGGAACGAGTGTCTGTTAAGTATTCACGGCAGTGCGTATCATTATCGGAGACATGTGTCGCGGTCTTTTAAGGCACAGCGATACAAAAGTGGCAAGAGGCTTCTTTCGTTGCGCAAACCGCAATTAAATAAAATAGAACGTTTCATTATCGTCTCTTGGAAAGGAGGCAATAGAAATAAATATTGTAAAGAAGCGTATCCTAAGATTGTGTAATTATATTACAGCTATATATCATATCTTCGTTACAAAATATATATTACAATATTCTCGCGCGATATTAATGTCTACAGTAGATACCTGAGTCTTGCAATGTTTATTGTAAAACTCGAAATATACATATCACAGTCGGATATTTACAATCAGAAGTGATTACGAAGTCAACAATTACGTAATACGCAACAAACTTGTGTAGAATTCCCGATACGCACAAGTAGAAAAGAGTTTATATTGCACGTAATGTCGTTGCGGAACACGAGTCAAAAAACATAACAGCGCGAAAAAAAGAAATCTAACTCTTTGTATTTACAAATCACAATATTTTTATAGCACCATCGAAAACTTCACTAGTCTATCAAACCTCATCTGTCTAATCTCATATATATATATATATAAATATCATTAGATAAATTATTCTAAATTAGAAAAGCTACCTTGTGTAAAAACAACTATGTTCTTTTCTTTGTAGCCGGCAATTTTATCGAATTTTCTAAATACAAAGAATAATCCTTTCAAATTTGCCGAACCAACGAAAAACATCTGCTTCGATCTTCGCCATTTAAACTTTCTGTGTAATATCTTGTGTACCGCGCGTCGTTACTTGCAGAGGTATCGAGAACAATTCTTCCCACGGAGACTGTATAGAGCTGATTACAGCGTCGACAGCAGCTGGAGAAACAAATTCCAAGTTCCAGCTCTCCTCGAGCCCCGCGATCTCGTCCAAGAAATTCAACGTCAGCGAAGTGTCGTAGTGTTCCTAAAATGTCGTAGTGTTATTAATGTTAGAGTGTATTGAATAATGTTATGATATCAAGTCATTTCCACGCGCCAGTTGTAAATTATATTATATGCGTTCTTTAGAATTTTCAACTATAAGAAAACAGATTTGTGTTTAAGAGCGTCGTCAGTTCTTTCTACAGTGAGAAACACAAATTATTACTTACTATCGCAATCAAATTGCTCATCGATTGCTCTCTAGCGACCAGAGGCGCTTGATCGCTGCCTGGTATCAGCCACTGACTATTGTCCTCCAGTATCACCAATGCCAAACCCGTCAGTATCAATCCGGACAGCTTCAGCTTCGTGGTGACGTTTCGGTGTTTCAGAACCGCGAAGGAAAACATCGCCAGCAATCGCACAACATCCCCGGTCTGATAATTGGCAGTATTCGTTAACAGATTGTGCATCGAGGTACTGTAATACTCCGGAACGGAGAACTCCACCTCGCAGCTTGGAGGCAACTGCAGATCTGTCAGCAGGAATGGCATCATGAGTTCGGAAGTCTTTTATATTTGAAATCTTGTTATTAAAACACTCCTCACCCGTAATGTAGAAAAGGAAGTTCGATGTTCTTTGGAAGTCTTGCAAGATACAGAGCAGTGTGATAACGAGATGCTCCTCGCCGGTGCTCTTGCCAGGCTGTTGCAGCTCGATCAGGACACCCTGCTTGAACGGCAGCGGTACGAAAGATCTCAGTCTGTCCGTCGTCCAACTGATTTCCTTGTGCAGCCAGCGCTGTGGGTCCTCCCTGCAAAAGTTTCACATTAAAAATTAAATTAAAAGATTGAAATGAGCGATGAGATACTCGCCGATACTTTTGTCAAAGAAATATCGCAAATATATACTTAATAATAAAAATTAAAAATACAATAGTATAAATATATAGCTCTTTTCTTATTAAAATAAATACACTATGTATTTGTAATTATTTTGTAATAAATGAAAAATTTGAGCAATTATAACCAGCTCCTGCTCTATCAGCTTGTTGTTTCAAGATTATTATAAAAATTAAAATTTTATTTATTATTGTCCGAGGAAAGCAACACTTACCCTTCCGATCCATCAATCCTAAGAACGTAAACCTTAGATGTAGACAATACTAAACACCCAGGAAACGTCTCCTGCATAGAATGCATCAAAATCTCCGCCTATGTGTGAGAAATATCAATCCTTCAATTTAAGTTTGCTACAATTAATTCAATTTAGTATTCAAAGTGAAGCGGAAAACTGTATATTTTTATTAAAAAACACTGTTGGCTAAACTGTGCCACCGCTTTCCACTTTGATCACCAACTAAATTCAACGAATTATATAAAAATTAAATACCCTAAGAAGAAAAACTAGCTCCTCGTTTTCATGATCGAAAACATTCAGAACGATATGTAGCTTGATTCTGTGATCCACAGTACTGAAATCTGTATACGAGTATTGTACGTTGCTGCTGAAAAAGTTTGAAGCTTCCTGGCCCTTCAACGTTTTGTTGCTGTTGATCTTGATGCTCTGGAGCAAGCCTAAAAATGATGCATCATAAAAAAAATGATATATAAAATATGATACATCGTAAGACAAATATGACTACAATTATTAATCATAACGATAATAATGAAATTAATGTTCTAAACAGCTTTAACGCACTTTATTTTTATAATCAAGCACGTTAATAATATTAAATATCGTAAAATGGTACTGAGAGTTCATTGGTTTTACCTCCCAACATCGACGTCAAGTTTGTCACAGGCGAAAACGCAATTTCCTTTTCGCTATCGCTGCTGTGAGACTTAGCATCGATGTTCATTGACTTAGCCATTTTATTTTCGTACGCTGTGCATATGCTCTCAGTCAGCGAGCCTGTAAAGATAAAACTAATTTTACAAATTGCCATCAGAATCGGAAGTCATAAAAAAGAGCAAAGTTACGCATTAATTTTTTGTTACAAATGTGTTTCACATACACTCGACTTATATTCGAAAATGTAATTAACAGAAGACATGTGACAGAATACAAACCTGAAGAACTACTTTCCGTCAAGCCTGCCATAACCGATGCTGCATCCGGAATCGTTATCAAGGAAGGAGGAAGCGCCGTATCCTTTTCCTCTGTCGAACGTTTTCGACTTGGAGTCACATTCACTCTGCATCAGGAATATTACGGTTAAACATTAACGCAAAGTCAGTATTCTACAGAAAATAATCGAATTAATCGAACAGTGAATACTTTGCGCGAGAAACATTTTGCATTTTGTTCAAATATATTTTTATTCCATCTCACGGATGTCTATTGTGCCCGACATGGAATATTGAACAATACATTTGAGAAACAAGCGTACTAACTTCAGCGTTTCGTCTAAAACTTCGATGCTGCTCTGGCTCGGATTGCTGAGTATCTCTATATCGCTCTCGTACTTCTTCACCGGGACATTCCTAGACGGTGTAAATTCTCTCGACTCTTCCAAACTTGTTGCTGAACCTGATAAAAATCATCAATTGAAAGAGATTGATAATTTATAATTAACAAAAAAGAAGATTAATAAACATTTTTTTTATCGTTAAATCATCTGAAAACGTTGTTACATCTTACAACTAAATGAAATACATAAGCTTCTATTGAACTGTCATGCTGTACTTACAAATAAAAATTTAAAAAGCTTTTTGGAAGTAAAGAAGTTTAAAAGAACAAACTACAACATATTTAACTCTGTGATCGTATAGAGACCTTAAAAACCTTTCAATCGCTAGACCTTTTTCTCAGACAAAGACGTAAAAGAATTAAATCTCGACGGCTAAATAAAAAAGAGAAAAAAAAGAAAAGCGGGATGGGGGAAGAGAAAGAGAAAGAGAGAGCGAGAGAGAGCGAGAGAGAGAGAGAGAGAGAGAGAGAGAGAGAGAGAGAGAGAGAGAGAGAGAGAGAGAGAGAGAGAGAGAGAGAGAGAGAGAGAGAGAGAGAGAGAGAGAGAAGGAAAGATGCTGCAATGTAAATTATTATTTCTGAAGCTTACAGCAGACTTGAGCTTGGATATGAGAATCGAAGTGCACCTGAGAAGTGGTGACGGATTTAGCTTCATCCTCCATTCCACCTGTATCGGGATTAGTGTGTTATATTTTCCATCGAACAGTTAAACGCATAAACACACGCGCGTGCATGTATATGTACACACGTATGTATGTACGTATATGTACAGTGTCCCAGGACTTGCCATTACACCGCCATTAACGGCAGATTGCTAAAGTTATTCGGAGACGAGAATCTTAATATTTTCATTAGGTTGGCGCAAAAAGTTCAGCTTGAAACAAAGTCGATTTCGATTCTAAAAGCTAGAAGTTTTTTTCAAACTTGTTTCCAGATAAAGAAAGCGAAGTCAATGGCGACTATTTGAATTCATAAAAATTTATTCGGCACTCTGCAATTTTGTGTTCGATCTTACTTAACGATTCCGAGAAACCCTTTGCATCGACTTAATGAAAGAAGTATTCGAAGTCAATTAATCGATTATTCAAAATTTGAGCACTCCAGGCAATTTTAGACGGAAGATTGTCGTCTCGAAAAAGTTGAAACTCTCGAAAATTAATGGATTAAAACCAGATACTGTACGTAAAAACGTGAAAAAAAGGTTGCTACAACCGTTGAGAACTGCAGTCCGTGCATATTTTCGTAAAGTCACTTTAAATCTTATCAAAATAACCCTCACACTGCGGCCTGTAAGCATTGGAGAAACTTACCGATGCTAGAGAACGATTCAGAATGTTGCAGATTAATTTCCGTGGAATTATTCGACGACTGATTCTTTACAGTGTCTACATTAGACGGAGCCTCCACTTCGATGACCAAGCTGCTGTCGCAGATGGGACATTTCAATTGTTTCGCTAAAATAATCATTTATTTTCACAATTGTCTTAAAAAATGTGTCATCTCATTACAATACTGTCGCAATATTGGGTACCTGTCGTCGACTTAACGGTAAGCATCACGTACTCTGCATCCTGAGAGAACTGTGTCGAGCATTTCATGCATTTGAAAACTTTTAACGCTATCGGCCGCAACTCGATCTGCTTGCTGATCGTCGACACGATTTTCTGAAAACAGAGAGTTTCGCGCTACAAGCTGTGTACAATTGTATTTAAGTACTGTGTACAATTGTATTTAAGTACTTCTCAAGTACCTTCGCATCTTCTAGCTCCGTGAGGTACCGCCTGTTCTCTCTATCTTTCCTCGTGGTGTCAAAGATAATGTCAACTGTGGGTGGATCGCTTCTACCTAAGACGCAGGACAATATGGCCTTCGTCGACCAGCAGAACTTTACCTTTCCAGTAATCATGTCTCTCTCCTTGATATCTCTACGAAGATTGCGTTAAAAAAGTTAGTTCTTTCCCTTTTTTTCAGCTATGACCTTTATATTTTTCTGATAAGCAATTAGAAATATTTTATCCGAGAATACAACCGTGTTGTAATTATATATGTGGCGGAATAGTGACTTACTCGGTAGTTATTACGAGGAAGATATCCTCCATCTCCTCGTCATTCTTTCTTTTTTGAACGATGTATAAATCTCCAGTCTCTAAAACGGAATAGAAAATAATTTTTAGTTGCTTTATTAATATTGTTTAATATATATTTCGCACAAATTTCACCTTCGTCGGGATCGTACACAGAAGGAGGAGAATGCGATTCCGAATGTTCAGCCGAGATTTCCTCGTCTTGAGAAACTTCTTTATCGTCATCCGCATATTCCGCAACTTCCGGCTGCGATTCGACTTCACCGGAAGACTTTACATTATCCATCGCAGAAATCAAGGTGTCGTGAAAAGATGAGGCTGTATCAATGTCAGCCAAGGTCTGTATTGGCGATGTCGAAAGTTGTGAAACAGACTGCAGACCCATAATGTCCTGAATGAATGTCCCCGCGTGACTGCTCAGCCAATTGGCCTTGCCAAATTTTTCTCGCAAAGCTAAGATGCGTTTCTTTGTCTCCAAATGATTCTGTGACGACTCTAGAGAAACGAATAAATTAACATATACCATTCCGTTATCGTTAATTAATTAAGATATAGTAAAGTTACATTATATTGTTTCAAATACATTTAACTATTATTGTACATGTTATATTCTATTTATCAAAAATTTTGGTATAATTACCCAAGTGAGAAATCTCGTTATCAGACAACGTTTTAGATTCTTCCCTTTCATGATCGATTTCAGCAATAATTGCTTCTCTCACGTTCGACCTCCTCTTACTCCTCGTTACGCTTCTTTCCAGAGTCTTTGGTAGCGATATTGCTTCATGATTCGATCCGTTTTCATCAGATTCGCAAAGATTTATGGATATCGAACTGCTCAAGGAGGTGTCTGTGCATATCGTAAAGATTCGATTTTCTGCGATCATCGCCCTCTCTGCTCTCGAAAGTGCCAGATGATCTAAAACAAACTGTGAGAGTTTACTTGAATCTGCGTCATAGTATAATTAATGTATTTCACGGTTTAAAATTGTAAGATTTCCGTTTCTTTGTTAGTTATTAAATTCTGGATGTTAACGTCCTAAAAAGAAATAGGAATCTTGTATACATATATATGTATATACTATGTGATAATACCTTGCTGTTCGACAGACTTGGATGGAAATGTTTTATAGATAACAAGCGATGTTTTGAATGGTACGATAAAGGATTTCCTTCTAAGGATACCCATAATAGAAAAGACATTCGTTGCAATGGCCAGAGGACTGAATGCTCCATTAAACAATTATATGATAAATCTAACTCTGTCAAAGATTCCAAACCTTGAAGACCTGTTATAGAAATTAACAATAAGAAAAATACATTATTTATTAATCTGTTTATGTATATGTGAAATTGTTGAGAAGTTATCATTATGATTTTGCAAATTGTGTCATATTAATTATTATTATGGAATTTGTGAATATATCACTACGAATAACTAACCATTTAAACTGTCAATGTAGTTGTTCTTCAATACCAACACTTGCAGTGAATGTGACACTGTCTTATTGAATATAGATACTTGTTCTAGTTTGTTATAGCTCAGATTAACATGCTTCAAGTTTGATAAACAGGATATCTCCTTAGCATTAGTAATTATATTATGACTCAAGTCTAATATCTGAAGCCAAGGCGCTAACTCTAATGATTTATCTAGGTGTTCGAGAGCATTATGAGGCAACACTAAATGTTTCAAAGATGTCCATACAAATCCAACATCAGTATCACCTCCGCATGTAGCTGTAAATAAAACGGGCAATTGTCAGATAATACTTAATAATGTGTAATTGTTATGCATACAGAATTGAATTAGATTTAAATGAATAAACTTGAATTGTTAGTTATATTTAAAAATTACCTAGTAATTGATTAATTGTGGATACACTCTTTCCACCGGTGCACACAATGCTCTCCAATTGACCTCTGATGCTCTGTAGACCCTTCAGTAACTCAATGGATACTTTCCTTAGTTCCAAATATTTTAAATGTCTGAACTTGGAGATATCGATGGGAACTTTGACGTCAGGAGAGTAATGTGTCACTTTTAAACCGATAGTCTTTTGCACAAAATCATGTAGAAACTTTACATCGTGGAATATATCTATCTTGGAGCTGTTACACACGTGAAACGAAGAATTCAGATCTTCGGATTCTACCACAATCAGCGAGAATGCTTCGTTGAGGCTGTGCAACAGTTTTGTAGACAAAGAGAGTTTGCTGGAGGCACTCAAAACCTTATCGCCATTCTGACGAAGAAGTTTCACCAATTCCAATACTTCTTTTATCCTGGTTATATCCTGCGAATTGGTCACTGTCGACATTGTGCTCTTTGTATTTCCTACTAAATAAGATATCGTGTTTATTTAACTGTTGCATTCGCATAAAAATACACATCCAAAATAAAAATACACTTGATATAAATAACCATAAATTACTTCACGTAAAAATACACTTTATGAAGAGAACGTAATTGCTTACCAGCGCTACAAGCGAGCAAACGGTAAAATAAAGAATCTGGAATTTAAAAAAGATTTTCTGTTACCTACTGCCAGAAAACAAGCATTTACATTATCAACTGTAATGTGGTGCGTGCGTATGCGTGCGTGTGCATGCTGCATATTGTCGTGTAGGTGTGTAGCGAGTGGGTGGTGGGTGTGTGCATGCATATGTATAATACACACCTACACGACAAACAATATGCAGCATGCACACGCACGCACACACGCACGCACGCACACACACACGCATTCATCCATTCAACAAACATACACGTGCTATTTTTGGTGAGCACAGATGTCTATACTAGTACTAGATCGCTAACTTCGTCAAAAGAGCTGAGGCCGGCAGGATTTTCGGTTTCGGCCATGACACCCTACAACAAAATGGCGACAATGCGTGTGTAATGTGTATAGGCCTTCACACACAAAATGACATAACTGCATATGCATAGCATAAGACCGTCTCGACCAATGAACATCTAGCATAAAAGTGCCATATTGATTTACATAGCATGTTCATTGGTCGAGACGGTCTTATGCTATGCATATGCAGTTATGTCATTTTGTGTGTGATGGCCTTATATCTGTACGTGCGTATGCACATGTGATACCCGGCGTGGTGATACAAATTGATAATATTGTAAAAATTCTTGAAAGATGCCGAGCAGTTGTTGAGCAGTTGCTGAGCAGTTGTTGAGCAGTTGTTGAGCAGTTGTTGAGCGGCCATTTTGTTGTAGGGTGTCATGGCCGAAACCGGAAATCCTGCCAGCCTCAGTTTTTCCATACGTCAAAGCCTAAAGTTAGCGATCTAGTACTAGTATAGACATCTGTGTTGGTGAGAGAAAATATAGACGAATATAGATTGAATAAAACTGGAAAAAACCGAATCTCGGTGTCAAAAAATGTGAAAAAAATTATGCAATTGTTTAAAAAAGAACAAGCACTGAATAATTTCTGAGCTCGATCAACAAACGGCATGGCTGTCCGTTCTCGAAGTTTAATGGCCGGAGCACAGACTTTTGCATAAAGCATAACGCATAAGCATAAGGAAATTGATTGGTCCATTTCCTTATGCATTTGCTTATGCTTATATATAGACCAATCAATTTCCTTATGCTTATGCGTTATGCTTTATGTAAAAGCTTGTGCTCTCGGCTTTAGACTTAAGACAAAGATGCATAAGGGCCTATCCAGATAAACTTGTTATAATCGCATAAACATATGATAACATTTGGTCCATAAGCAGATGCATAAGGAAATGAACCAACCAATTTCCTTATGCATATCTTTATGCGACTATGCAAGTTTGTCTGAATAGGCCCTAACCAATGATTTTGTAAATAAGTGCAATGACAACATAAGAAACATAAGTAAAACTTAATTATTAAACAAATTAACCAATTACAGTATAGTATTCTCGAAAGCGTAAGATTGATTAGCCAATTTGTTTACCGCTTAAATTTTACTGCTAACGTTTCTTTAAGCGCCATGGCGCCCTGAACATTTAAATGAAATACTTCAGTAATTTCTTTCGTTTCATGGCCGGTTTATGCTTCGGTCTTAATCTTAATCTTAAGAGTTGATAACGTAGAATGCCATAAGGGCGTTTATACTTCCCTAGTCTTAATCTTAGTCTTAAGCCGAGAGCACAAGCTTTTACATAAAGCATAACGCATAAGCATAAGGAAATTGATTGGTCTATATATAAGCATAAGCAAATGCATAAGGAAACGGACCAATCAATTTCCTTATGCTTATGCGTTATGCTTTATGCAGAAGCTTGTGCTCTCGGCTTAAG